GAAGAAGAAGAAGAAGAAGAAGAAGAAGAAGAAGAAGAGAAGCAAAAGAAGAAGAAGAAGAAGAAGAAGAAGAAGAAGAAGAAGAAGAAGAAGAAAAAGAAGAACAAGAAGAAGCAAAAGAAGAAGAAGAAGATGAAGAAGAAGAAGAAGAGACGATTCTCTCACCACTGGCGTGATGGCGGGACGCGGAAGGCTGGGCTGCTGTCGATGGCGCGCGTCGAAGTGGCCGGCGGGGAGACGTGGTGTCGAGCAGGCGCGATGGCAGCGCTGTTGAAGTGGCCGACGGGAGATGCGAACAGCGATGTTGGCGACGGGGAAACGTGGCTGCAGCAGGGGGGGGGCAGCGGGAGGCAAATGGGAGGCGCGTGCTGGGGAAGAGGCGGCCGCCAGATCCCACCCTATTTTTTTGAAAAGGGCGGCCGATCTGGGCCGCCGATCTCTCGAGATTGGCGGTCCAGATCGGCCGCCCTTTTCGTAGGGTTTGGGCAGGCCTACCGGACTGCCGCAAGTTTTTATTTTGCCTGCGGGCCTCCTTCACACCCCGGAGTACCCCCCACGGTGGCCCCGGTAACCCCTCCCAGCGGTAATGCGCTGGGGCCGACCGGGGGAGAGCCGGGCCGGTCGACCAGTAGGTCCGACCGGAACGGTTCCCGCTTGAGGAGGGCCCCCCGGTTGGACCGGGGACCAACACTGATCCCCAGTCATTATAACTGTATTTAGACGGGCAGTTCTACGAAATACAGCTATAATGACCGGGCGTTCTATTTGGGTGTGGCGATGGTAGAATTAATAGTGTAAGTACGACTCTTCCGCTCCCATGATGCTCTCTTTCAAGTTTGTCTTGGGTTCTTTTTTTGGCAAAATTTTGGACGATTTGTGGATTTTTGCGTGGCCTTCTTTCATGGTTGCGGCGCACCTCGGTGCGCGGATTTGCGCGCGAATTGTGCACCGCACCAAAGCGCAGCGCACTGGAAAAATTAGGTCCACAAAAAAAAAAAAAGAGAGTAGGTGTTTTGTAATTTCTTAGGGCCCCCAACTCGGCAAAAATGTCAAACTCACCGCGCGAGCTCAGAAACCGGCCGCGCCCCAAGCTCAAAATTTTCTTTTGGGTAAGGGCTGCCAAATTTCAATTTCCGCAGGCCCTTCCCCCAAAAGTTTCAGAATGGCGAAGCATAAATTACTTAAAAAATAGGGCTCATTCCATCTTTTTTTGTAGGCGGGGTATGAAAGATGTTCTTCCCACTCCCTTCTGCAAATCCCACACAGTGGTGGGGTAAGTTCGCAAAAAGGGGCAGTCGCCTGATAACGACTGGCCCCGCGAATCTTCACAGAGATCACAAGTTACATTTTCTATGGCCAGCCGACCACCAATATATGCTGAAGATTGGCGTTCAGGTCTGCATGTTGGCAGTTATGGGTTAGGATGAAGACGCCCGTGGCTCTCTCGTTTTCTTGGTTTTGTTTTCTTACGAATACGTCCAGTGGGGCCTGCTCCACTACTCACCAAATGCACAAAAGACATAGCATATGGCGGTGTATAGTTCCATGTTTTAGCAGAAGATTCATTCTACTAATATAATATACATTTGGTGAGTGGTGGAGGGAGGCCCTGAGAATCACGTGGAGACACGAACAGGGTCTAGCTGAACTGGTGACCCATAACTGCCGAGCTACAGCCGTGAACTCGAATCCACAGCATATATTGGTGGTCTGCCCCCGTGTCTTTCGTGCTTGAAGAGGCCATCCTTCTCAGTGAAGCAGCAGCCCTCAATAGTTCCCCATGCGTTGTAGGAGCCATTCGTGGTACCTGCAGGGGCTCTCGAATTGACATAAAGGGGATCCTTTTCTCTCTCTCTCTCTCTCTCTCTCTCTTGGGCCCTATCGTGTTTTTTATTTTTATTATTTTTTTTTTATTTTTTATTGCGCACATAGCGCACCTTCCTCAGCGTGCGCACCGCACTGCGCACGGCGCACAGTGCGCGCGCTGTCATTCGAGCGCACAGCGCAGTGCGCACCGCCCCGCACCACACTGTGTACTCGTGCGCCGCAACTATGCTTTCTTTTGTTCCCAAGGAATTATGAAACTAGCCATTTTTTACACCAGGTTCCTGCTTCATGAGCACGAAACACTGCGCCAGTGTCGCCTGGTCCTAAGTTCCTAACTTATCTACTACCGTTCACACTCCTCTTCTATCCTCTCTCTCTCTCCCCACCCACCCCTCTTCTCTCCCTCCCCCCCTCCCTTTCTCCCTGCCTCCCTGCTTTGGTCTACCCCTGTGTCACGGGTTGTGTGTGCTCCATCTCAAGGGTAGTCTAAACCTGTGTTCCAACCCTGTGTTAATACTGTGTGTAGGGTTGCCTAAACCCGTGCTAACCATGCTACTGTCCCAGGGTCGAGGGTGGGACAAAACCGGCCAGTTTGTGTCCAACTCTGAGTCAAGGGCTGGATGGGTTCGGTGTCCACCCTGTTGTGTTAATCCACTATGCCAAGGGTCGTCTACACGAGCTGAAGAGTGGGACAAACGGCCAGTTTGTACCCAAAAGCCTACATCAAGGGTTAGAGAAATCATCCGTCAAGGGTAGTCTAAACCTGCGTCAACCCACTGACGGGCCTAGCTCAGTTGGTAGACCCATGAACTGTTGAAATGCAGACTCAAGTTCGAATCCTATCGGATGAACAGAACCAAATCACTCTTAATTACATGGGATCGGTCAGCTCAATGAAGATACCTTATGGCCGTCACTCTTCAAAAAAAAAAAAAAAAAAAAAAAAAACTTGCGTCAACCCCGTGTCAAGGGTAGTTGTCTAGACCTGTGTCAGCCCTGTGTCAAGGGGGTCGGACAACTGGCCGGTTTGTGTCCAACCCCCTTTTTAGTCAAGGGGGTCAGACAACTGGTCGGTTTGTGTCCGACCCCTCTGAGTCAAGGGTTGGAGGAGTTCTGCGTTAAGGTTTGCCTAACCCTGTGCCCTATATTTACCCTTGGGTGAGAAAGAAGCCTGTGCCAAGGGTTGTCTACACGTCCCAGCGGTTGCTCAAGCGGCGCTGGTTTGTGCTCAACCCTTTGCCCAGCAGAGGGGTTAAGGGTTTGGACTACCTCTCTGTTAACGGTAGTCTTGACCTGTGTCAATGCTGTGTTAAGCGTTGGCTAAACCTTTGTCAGCACAGGGTTGGACAATATCTGTACGGGTCTGAGTTCTCTGCAATAAAACGGAAAGGAATCTCTACAGGCTCTCTACAGATGTGAATTCTCTGTGTACCCCTCCACCTGCCCGATAGGGATCTCAACGCGCTCATATCTGCTCTCACCTTCTTTTGCCTGTTGACTGACCTGTCACTCGGTCACCCAAATGGCTTACTTGTGAGCGAATTGAAGAGTTTTTTTTTTGTTTTTTTGTTTTTGTTTTGTGTGTGTGTGTGTGTGTGTGTGTGTGTGTGTGTGTGTGTGTGTGTGTGTTCTTTATGCACTTTCCTCAAAGTGAAATTAACTTCAGGATTAATGCTATTCTAAGTTGAGGATAAATGGTATTCTAAGAACATATGCATGCTAGAACAATCATAAGTGTATCTGACCCTAACAACGGCCCTATTTGGATGTAGCTGACCCAAATTCCGTCCAGAAACAAGTAAAAAAAGTCCTAGTGTGAATATGGCCTAAGTGGTTTGATCGAGTGGTTCCACTGGAAGACAAGTGAACAAACCTTAAAGCTCCACAGAGTGGGAAACCCAAAAAGAAGGAAGAAAGAAAAAACAGAGTGGAATGTGAAGGGACTTCAGAGCTCGTTGATTTCAGTCGCAGGGTTTTTTTCACATTTACTTTCAGCTTCATGATTGATTTCCATCTTTTAGGGTTTTCAGCTTCATTGATTTGCACTCTTAAGGTTTTCATTGTCCCATCGATTTCCAGTTTAGGGTTGTCTGCTCTGGAGGGAATTTTACCCATGCTGTGCTGAAATATGATGGACGGCTTGATCACTGTTTGATTGATGTAAGCTTTGCCTCCTGCCTCTCCCTCCCTCCCTCTCTCTCTCTCTCTTTTGGTAGATTAGGGACTTCTCTGTCTCTGCAGATGGCTGGCATCTCCTCTCTCTCTCTCTCTCTCTGTGCATTGAGTGTGTTCGTCATTAGCCTCTTTTTCTTGCTGCTAGACGAGACATAGAGATGGAGCAAGTCTTACCGTCTTTACAGAGGAAGGCAGGCATGACGCGGGATACTTAACAGAAAGCGCGTTTGGCATCTGCTGTTTCTCTGCAGCAAGGACTTAAACACGGTGAAGAAGATGGTGAACGACTGTGTGGAGGGGATGAGGGCGAATGAACGGTCGGGTGGCGGGCACCTCACGGCGTCCTTAAGACCGTTGGATGTGATTAATCATCTTGATCCGATGGACCAAGGCCACACATCGTTCCAGCTTCCGAAACTGGAGGAATGCGACAGGCGGCTCGCGCATCTGGTGCTGTACCTGAGGGACTGCAAGAATGACATGAGTAGATGTGTTCACGTGCAATTGCAGAAGGTGGCGGCTCTTCAGTCGAAGATCCGCGACATGCGCTTCCAGCTGGCTGCGTACCGAGAAGCCCTCGATCAACAAGACAAGCACTTTGATGAGTTGGTAAGACTCCACAGAGTGCGGCCGGCATACCGAGTCTGCCTTGCCGAGATCGTTTTCAGAAAAGCGTATGCGGAATGGTACAAAGGGCAAGCAGAACAGTTGGCGGAGAAGATTGCGCAGATCCGGGACGCGGAGGTGGCAAGGAGAGAAGAATTCTTTCAACAGCAAAGTATGTACATATCGAGAGAGATCTTGGATCGGATGGGGCTATCTGGTCTGCCAAGCCAATGTGAGGTCAATCTGCCGCCGTTCGATCTGGATTTGCTGGATGTGGAAATGGCAGAGCTGCAGAAATGGGCGCCGGAGAGCCTGTATGGTCCATCGGAGCAGGCGAGCAGAAGGCTTTCGTACCCAAGGTCAGTGGGTACGATAGGTGAATCGTCATTTGTGGTGCGTCGGCCAAGCACAGAGGATTCAGCTGCGCCACCGGATGGTGGTGAGGGGGATGGCATTGGCGGCGCTGGGATTGACGAAGTAATGGAGTCGAAGAAGCTAGAGCTGGAGAATGCACGGCTGAAGGCTGAGCTTGCGTCGGCCATGGCCATGCTTTATGCGTTTGACCCGGAGCGGTTCATGGAAGAAGGGGCGCAGGCGTGGGAGGAAGGAGGGGATTTGGAGGGTGCCGGCACGGGCGGCACAGTGATTCAGGTACAGAAGGTTGCAGAGGCCTTGTATCTGAAGGATGAGTATGGAAGGCAGCTTCAAGATCAAATTCTTCAGCAAAAGGGCCAGATTAGTTTGTATGTGCAGAGAATACAGGACCTAGAAGCGCAACTGGAAGTGCAGCGGGCACAAATGATGGCCCAGCAGGGGCAGAGGGAGGGGGGCGCGGGAGAGGGGATGGTCGGGAGTGATCGATGGCCGAAAGAACAGGACGAAGGGCAGCTAATGATGATGACACTGGCAGGGGGAATGCAGTCAGCATTGCCTTGGGGATCATTCCGGGCTGGCAGGAAGGATCATCAGGACAAAGGTGGCATGGTTGAGCAATCGGGTAGCCAGAGTGCAAGGAAAGACGCATCTGGCGCAACTGAGATGGCATCCTGCGATCAGGATGAACAGAGGAGCATCGGGGTCGGTCGTGATGGGGAAGGGAAACAAGGCAAGGATGGAGGAGGGTCTAGTGTAGAACCGAGTGCTGTTCAATACAGCACAAAGGAACAAGACGCTGGGCAAGTTCTAGAGCAGCCGCCAGGGGATGCGGGAGAAGTGCAGGAACCGTCGAGTGTAACTGACGATCATGCCATGTTGGACGCATCTGGTCATGCTGCCCATGACCACCGATCGCAGGGTGGCGGTGGGGTGACGTGCGTGGTGGAGGTGGAATCTGCGGACACAGCGATGGAGGACTCACAGGGGGTAGTATTGCAAGCTGAAGGGGATGCAATGGTTCCCGATAGCGGAAGTGGGGTGATGTGTGGGGTAGAAGGGCAGAATGAAGGGGGGACTGAGGGTGGTGGACGCGGCGTGGAGAGTAGGATGGCAGAGGGCAATCGAGAGGAGAGGGAGGAGGAGCAGCATGCAGACAACGGCTTAGGGGGGGAGGATGATGCAACGCAAGGGGGGGTCTCTTTCACAACAGCTGTAGATGCGTGTGTGTCAGGGGAGGAGGAGGTAGGGAGTGGCAAGATGCAGTCTGTAGAGTCTGCGGAGAGCACGGTCGCAGCAGCAGGAGCACCCCAGCTGCATGCAAAGCAGGATGACGAGCACGATAGTGCGCTTGTCGATGATGATGCGAGTACGAAAGATGTTGGGAGTCTTCACAATGCTCTCGCTGAAAGTTCTGCTGCTTGTCAAGCTGCCGAAGAGCGGGTGAAAGCTCTGACAGCGGAGGTGGCAGAGCTGCGTGCTCTTTTGAAATCCAAGGAGGATCTCCTGAGTGAAAGTCAGGCAAGTTCTTTACCATCTCTTCCCACTTATGCTCTTTATTTATTATATATGTTCTTGTATATATCGTTGTAGAGAACTGCCTGGTGAACTGTAGGCATACAGGGAGAAGGGGACAACAAACGAGAGGCTGTGAAAGACTTTCGTCAGAGTTTCACTGACTCATCTGGAGGCTGAACCCTCTACAGTCTGCAGAGTCCCCTAACCGATGATGCCTTTTGTGACGATCCACCTGAACCCCATTGCGGTTAAAGTCAACGACTGCCTCGCAATACTGTTGAGTCAGTGGAACTCCGACGAAACAGTCTGTCACAGCCCCTCACGTGTTGTCCTCTTCTCCTTCTCTGACTATGGTTTACCAGGGAGTTATGTTTGACATTATATTAGGGTTCAGCCTCCCTTTGGTAAACCCAAAGACTGCAACTGGTTAAGTATACATTATTCCGCGAGTGACGAGTTAACCCGGCTGGCGTACCCACATACAGTTAACCCGGCTGGCTTACCCATATACAAAAAAAGGGTTCAGCCTCCCTGACTGATTTTTGACTGAGTTTTAACTGAGTTCTGAGTGAGTTTTGACTGTGTTTGAACTGTGTTCTAACTTCTAACTGTGTGTGTTTTGACTGTGTCAACGCAGGTTAACTGTGCCCTCTAGGA